TGAATGTCGTCTTATGCCAGACACTGATAAATTATTATATGCATATTATGATTTAATTTTCAAGAGAACCTTAGGATGCAAATAGAATTCTTATTCCCAAAAAAACACAGAGAAGTAACAATCTGTCCCAGTTTGGATAACGATTAAGGGTTGATTTGGGATTTAACATAGGCGACTTGTTTCAAGATTCTGAACTGCTTTAACTACTATGATATTTTCTTCTAATTCCCTTGATTGGTTTTTCAAAAAGAAAACCACTTTGGCTCAGCACTTTTTAATATTAATGCAATATTAAAATGCATTAAACTTTAACATTAAGTTTGACATCAAAGCTGTGTTGATAAGTATGTGACAGTACCATTATTCTACTATTTTCTTTCAAAAATGATTATTAAAACTTCACCGAAAAATAGAATATAAAGGTAAACTCATTTTTTAAAAGATTTATTTATTTGTTTTGAAAGGAAGAGTTACACAGAGGCAAAGAGAGAGAGAAAGACAGAGATAGAGACAGATACAGAGACAGAGAGATCTTTTATCCACTGGTTCACTCCCCAAATGGCTGCAATAGCCAGAGCTGGGCAGATCCGAAGCCAGGAGCCAGGAGCTTCTTCTCAGTATCCCACACAGGTGCAGGGGCCCAAGGACTTGGGTCACCTTCTACTGCTTTTCCCAGGCCACAGCAGAGAGCTGGATCAGAAATGGAGCAGCCAAGACTCACTGGTGCCCATATGGGATGCTGGCACTGCAGGTGGCAGCTTTACCAGATAAGCCACAGCACTGACCTGGTAAACCCATATTGACCCAAGAATCTTTGAAATGCATGCATAGTTTTTTTTCCCCATAGAAGAATTTTCCATGAACTTTTTGAAAACCCCACACATGCATGCATTTCAAAAGACTTTGAACCAAAACAAATTTATCTTTCATTCTATTTTTCATCAGTTTTTGAAGTTTCCTTATATTTTTTATGGTTCAAACTATACTGCATTGAAACACAGGCATGACACCC